GTTCAGTAGTACTTGAGAACCCTGCACTTTCGATTCCACTCAGTGCATATGACTTTGCAGTGAATTTCAATGACGTCATCTTTGTCTCAGCGTATCAACGTCCCAGTGTATCAGCGTTTATAAGACAACGGTAGAAATACAACTAAAAGAGTCCGTAATAACATGGTATCCCGAAGGTCCCTTAAGTAGATCAAGTGATACAACGTGTTTACATGTCTTACACCTCGGTCGATGGCAAGGAGTAGTCGAACCTTTAGGTCTTTCAGAAATAGGTTGAAGTGAAGAATGTACAAGTAAGTCACGGATACTGGCATCACGACGATAAGCACATAGTGGAGGAAGCTGAAATATCTCACTAGTAGATGGATCAGTCTGGAGTATGTGGTAATTTTTCTTGATGACTCTAGCAACTTTGGTAGTGGTCGGGTGAAATGTCATAATAAGTGGAACTCTGTCAGTAGACGAAGTAGCAGTGGGTTCTAGAGCGTCGCTTTGGGAGGTACCTGTAATACGACGAAGAGCCTGGTTGGTGACAGATGAGGGGTATCCTCTTTGATTGAAAAATGACATCATCTCTACTGCTTGATTCGAGAAATCGTCGTCATCACTGCAAATTCTTCGTAATCGCAATAATTGAGAATATGGAATACCTTGTTTACATGCACTGGGGTGAGACGAATTATACGTTAAGTAGGTATGTGCGTCAGTAGGTTTATAGTGGATACTAGTAGAGATACTATTACCAGATATAGATAGTTCAATGTCAAGAAATGCAACTTTGGTAGCAGAAATTTCGTGAGTGAACTTGATTGCCGGATGGTAGTCATTAACATAGGATATAAAGTTAATGAGTTCGTCATAATGACATGAGGCTGTTCCCACGCAGTCATCAATGTAGCGCTTAAACATATCGGGTTTGGTACCATCATATGAATCGAAAATACGTTGTTCTAACCATCCAACAAACAAGCAAGCAAAGCTGGGTCCCATTTTAGTTCCCATAGCGACACCGGATATTTGCTGATAAAAGTTACCATTGAATTCAAACGATGTGGTTTTCAGGACGAGTTCAGCAAGTCGGATTATGGTGGAGGTGGAGCAAGAGGTATGGTTGTCATGGTCCAGGAAGTGTCGAACAGCGGTGAGTCCATCAGCAATAGGTATAGATGTATACAGTGAAGTAATATCCATAGTGAAGACGTACTTATGGCGGCCGGTAAATTCAAATGCCTTGAATGTGCGAATAGCATCGTTAGTATCATTAATGTAGGTAGGAAGTTTCTTGACGATAGGAGAAAGCACGCTATCCAAGTATTCACTGATGATGACTGTAGGACAGTTGCAAGTTGAGACAATTGGACGACCAGGAGAGTTATCTTTGTGAATTTTCGGTAACATGTAGAATTTAGAACAACTAGGGCGTTGATTAATTAAAACAGATGCACTTGAAGGTAATTCTTCGTTAGCAATCATATAATTAATAACAGACTTAACATGGCGTTGGTCATCAGGAGTAGGATCGAATGGTACAGAAATGTAAGTGTTCCTATCAGAAAGTTGACGATTACCTTCACATATGTACAAGTCCTTACGCCAGACAACAGTAGCACCACCCTTATCGGCAGGTTTGATTATCAAATCGGAGTTGTTTCGAAGATTTAACAGAGCTTTCTTCTCACCAACAGATAGTGATTCCGATCGGGAGCGTCGTTTGAGAACATTCTGTTTAATGTCATGGCGGCATTTGTTGATGTACAAATCAAGTGCAGGGAACTTTCCTGTTGGAGGAGTCCATTCAGAGTGATTGCGTCGAAGATTAGAGAATCCATCATCAGAGTCAGTAGAAGTCAGAGGTTGATTGTGGAAATGTGCTTTCAGTTTAAGCTTACGATAGAATTGTTCAAGGTCTTTGAGTGCCTGAAAATCATCAATCTTAGGGCGTTGAGGTACAAACGATAATCCCTTAGAAAGCACTGATCTCTCATCGTCGGTGAGTTGTAAATCGGATGGTATAGTTACAACCAACTTGGAAGTATCCATGTTGTGAGATTCAATAGAAGTTCGACGAGTTGCTTGTTCTGCTAGTAGCCGATTGAGTTTAGCTTGTTTGACATCAGTAAGGCATTTGTAATATTGTCTATTGAGTTTGTGGATAGTAAGTCGAATGCTATTGAACACTATAGAATCACAAGATGCACGGAGTACTTGACGATAATAGTCCATTCTGTTACTGTAGAAAGTACTACTCCGTTTGAACGATCGTAGACTTAAGCGCATAAGTTTCTTCGAACAACTATCGATGTTATTAGCAATGACGACTTGACTA